GAGAGAGAGAGAGAGAGAGAGAGAGAGAGAGAGAGAGAGAGAGAGAGAGAGAGAGAGAGAGAGAGAGAGAGAGAGAGAGAGAGAGAGAGAGAGAGAGTAGAGAGAGAGAGAGAGACTGAGTGGGGCAACGAGAAAGCGCTGAGCAAGCTTTGAAACATTGCTTACTATAGCAAATTGCAAAAACCTCACCAAGCAAACACTTCCTGAAACTAGAGCGTAAAGGTTGCCCAGCGGACTGTGTTTGAAGCAAACAGATGAAGCTGGCTAAAAACTAGAACTGTGATACATTACACGCCTCCACCTGGATAGAATCCACACAGAAATGAATACCTTCCGTTGGCCCTGGCACTCTGGGCAGCAAAAATGCGCATGCATGTTTACTCTATTCATACCATACTGTGAAAGCAAAAGTATCAAGAGCATATAAAGAAGGGTCCTTCTTTATATGCTCTTGAAAGTATCCATTCAAACAGCCCCGGCTGTCTTATGCATGCACGCCATTAGGCAACCCCAACTACGTGGCGACTCTTACATTAATTAATTCACGACGTGCAGGGTCGGAGTGTAGGGGTAACCTATGGCGAAGGCCCAAAATGTCAAAAAATCGGCTTAAAGTCAGAAAAAAAGATGCTCCGAAGCCATGTAATCATACGCACGTCGCCACATATAATCGATTAATCGATACTAACGATTCTATTAGGACACGATGTTTACGGCTAGAAGATAGCACTGCTGACGTAAATCTTCAGCCCATCTTTACAATAATGACTTCCGGATTCATTTGCTCTTGCTGCATCGCCATAAATTCGCATTCGGCGTTCGGTCAGTGGCTATAGCTGCATCGCCAGGTCTCATGGCCAGAGCTGTCAGATTCAAGCGTTTTACCGAAACCGGGGGAACAAAATACAAAATGAATATGGAGTATTTAGAATCACTGCAAACCTTCGCTGCAGGTTTCTGTCAGTCGTACATCGATCGCACATCATGCGATTTGTTAGCACGAGTGTAGCCGCGACCACGCGTAGCTAGGAGGCGCAGCAACGGAAAGGCGACCGTATAAGATAGCAAGAGGACACTACTAGTTTACACTTTTAACTGACTGCTTCAAGTATCTGTGCTCATATCAGTCGCCCAGAACACACGCACGCGTGACTGACTTATAGATAGCTCAGTGAAATATATAATTTAATCATATTATTGTGTACCCCGCGACGAAGCCGCCGCCGCTCGGTCCGCCGCAGAGAATTTCCATTTCGCTCTATAACTCGACCCCTAATTGAACTAGCGCTACCAAACTTGGTATACTTACACATGTTGGGGAGAAGGTGAGCAGCGTACCAAAACCAGGCCACTGCGACCTTTATTTGACCTTTCCCTTGACCTTGATCATATTTCCCTTCTGCTCTCTAACTCGGCCCCTAATTGAACTAGCGCTACCAAACTTGGTATACTTACACATGTTGGGGAGAAGGTGAGCAGCGTACCAAAACCAGGTTACTGCGACCTTTATTTGACCTTTACCTTGACCTTGATCATATTTCCCTTCCGCTCTCTAACTCAGCCCCTAATTGACCTAGCGCTACCAAACTTGGTATACTTACACATCTTGGTGAGAAGGTGTGTCGTGTATTAAAACCAGATCACTACGACCTTTATTTGACCTTTACTCTGACCTTGATCATATTTCCCTT